CAAAAGTCCCTGTTCCTAACTCTCAGCAGCCTACCTCTGCTTCACGGCTTACCCCCTGCAGCCTGCACCCTTAGAAATAAACATGTTGCTGTTCTCAGCAAGACAAAGAAGCAAAGCTGCTGTTTGTCCAAGGAGCCTTGCCGATCACGCAGACCCAGATCGAAGCCCCAGGCCTGAAACTTGGAGCAAAAGTGGATGCCATGAAGATCTGGGAGCCCGAAGGTAAGAAGAATTGAGGGAAACCTGGTGGGTGGCGCTGTTTGCAGGGCAGAATCTCAACTAAACAGGCCCCAAAAGATTGATTCCCAAGCTGGGTAGGCAGGTCAGCTTAGCAACTTTCCAGCTAGAGATGGCTGAGCAGCCCTGGCAGCCCTTACCACTACGCTCAAAATTTGCGACATCCCACCCGCTCCTCTAAGAAACAGCAGTCTGGAGAGACAACGCCACTGACGCAATATCGGAGTGGCCGATCTTCCTCTCCTGCAAAATGTACAGTCTGCTGAGTCCGCTGCTGATTGGAATAGGATTGCCAAGACAATAGCGTCCTGGTTTGGGTGGCAATACAAGCTTTGTAATTTGATCCTCAGTCAAAGGAAGCTTCAAGCGGAGCTAGTAAAAAGTAGAGAAAGTCAATCCATTCTCAGGCTCTTTCGTGACGGTGAACATCGTGGTTTGCGCTTGCACCATTACGGCGAATCTGGAAGGCTTCAGCAAACATTTCATTTGTGTCAGTCCACGTAGTATCTCATCTATTTTGTCGTGGGTCAGTGTTTTGTTTTGACTCCACTCAGAGGCTTGCTCAGAAGCATGGAAGCACACAGAAAGCTGCAGTTGTCCTCCTGGCCTCGTGTTTTCCCCATTTCATGATGTTGCTGTCCACATTCCAATAGTCACCAGACAGCCACCTGGATAACGTTTCTTTTGCATTGACAGCAAAATATTTGGACTGCCCAACGGGCCTTCGCTTCTGGTCACAGCCAATTTTATCATCGCTCAAATAGACTTTGGGCCCCTACAAAGTGCCCACACCGTCGACACGCTCAATGCCACCATACTTTGTTGGCTGGCAAGAGAAGCGATGCTTTGCAGAGAGCATCGGCAACTGTTGTCAATTTCACGAACATTCTTCTTGAAGCATGCCTGTCCTGTTTCACTTTGGTCACAAGTCCTGCCTTCACCTGGCCCCAGAGTCGAGAAGGGTCCTTGCTGAAGTTCACCTCATGGAGCTCCTGAAGAAGGCTTCGCAACCCAAAGCCCGAAGCATTGCGTGTCTTTGATGTGTGGCACGTCTGTTTTGGCACGGAAAGTAGCTCACAGAACTTAGAGGCCGAACCCGTGCCAAACCCAAAGTGAGCCCGCCAGAAGCCACCCACCACAAAACGGACCAAGACAGCATCTCTAGCAAAATGACGCAGCGACAAAAAGGTTATTGCATGTTGTTCTTGGCCATTTCTCAGGCTTGTGGACAGGTTTGAGTTCGTTTTGTACTAACCCGGTAATGCGGTACAGGGCTAATGAGAAGCCGGCATTTGACTAAGAAGGGCTCCATCAGAGCTTATTTCAAAGTCTGCATGTTAGACGACTGTGTCAAGTCGGATCTATGTTTATATACCCACACGACGAAAGAAATCTTGCTTTCTGTCTTCAACCGGTTGCAACTTAAACACTCCTCGATGGCTTCCCTGGGAATTCGATCATGGTGAGGGTTTTCTGGCAAGGCATTCTGCCTGAAGAAATCAGGGCCATGCAAAGTGTTACAGGTTTGCTTTTCACTTGAGCAATCCAAGACTGAGAGGTTGGCTTGCCATTGGAGCGTGAGGCCCGAGCGACGCCCAGGTTGAACCTTGATGGGTTGGCAAGATCTTCAAAGATCCAAGACTAAGCAAAATTGCGCTGCCAACAATTCGTGGCATTCTAGTTCCAAAACAAGAAACTATCGACTGACAAAATTCAGACCAAAAGAAACAAGCGGTTTTCTGCCATACAAAGCTATAGGCTATGGTCAAACTTTGCAGAGTAGACTGGGTATTCCAAGTTGGTCTCGTCAAAGGAGATTCGTTCACCCGGATCAGTACTCAAGGAAAGTAAGCTGAGGAAGAAGCCCGCCAGGACCGGCAAGAGTGCCACATCCGTAAGACATGGTAACTGTTTCAGCCAACACGGCTATACCGTGTCACAGCACAACATCTGACCTGCACTTGTTCAAGCAAAACTGCAAGTGGCAAAGCTGTTATATAAAAAGGTTGCGAAGTTTGGTGCTTGTTGTTTATTTTGTAGTTTCTGCGCTCGTCTGGCAAATTTGGGCAATTGTCCAAAAGCTTCTCATTGCGTCGAAGCAAAGTACCATCGTTTTCAAGGGTCTTTCCGATGTGTTTCCTTGGCCGCTTTGTTTTCAACTCTCCAAAAACTCAGTTGATTCACCCTTTTTTTGTCAGGCATGGCAACCATTCCAATAACATCTTTTCAACTGCCTGGCTGATCATCTCGATCCTTTCTAAGCATGCTTTGCTGCTTTGCTGTTGACCACTGCTCAACAGGATGTTTTTGTGAAGAAAGCTGTCAAGTTCGTCACGCATGAAAGGGCCCCTCAGCGATGCTGCTTGGAAAGGCAGGGCAGCAAGTCAGACTTCTGTTGGTACGGTTTGACCTAACCTGGTTGAACATTGGCACTGCTGCCAACAATCTGGACCCCATAGTAATTCTCGAAGCCAGAAACTCCACCTCAACAGCTCTTTACCATCACTCCTCTCCACTCGCGCCTGCACACGCTTGTGAACATCATGGCTTCCACGTAACACCAACCTAGTGACTAATTGTGCTGGGTCAATTTCTGATAGGCATCAAGTTTGAGAGAACCGCAATGGCGTCCATGAACCGAAGCTGTTGCAAGCCCACGGACATGGACTCATCTCACCCTAACGTTCCAGCTAGGGTTCCTCCTCACTCCCCTCCCCATGCAGGACCAGGACCTCAACTAAGATCTCAGCCCCTTCCTCATCATGACTGGCAACTTACAGCGAATGTGCTGGGTTTGCGCCAACATGATTCTTTTTTAGCACTCATCCGTGCACACTTCTACCCGTTGACCTCCGGCCAAAAGACATGTTTCCGGCCATGGGCAAAGCGATAGCCTTAAAAATGTCGCGCGAGAGCCATTCAATGGATGTTCTGGCTTTGTCATTATGTATTTCATATTCAGCCCGTTTGTCTGTCAAATTTTGCCAAACATATATACTTATTTATGTGTGAAGTGGCGCCAATGCCGTCTCGGACCTCCAACTCTGCTCTTTCCAATTCGATAACTGTTTGATCGCAGGATGTGTCCAGCAAGAGCGGGTCTTTTTCTGAGAAGGAGGTCCAAAAACAGTGGTATGTCGCGTCCTGCCATCTGGGACGCTGTCCTCAACATAAATTTGTTTGTGTTTCTGCGGTTGACGAAAGCTGATTCCAATCCTAAAACAGACCGTAATCCCCGAACCTGGAAAGATTGACTTTTTTCATCAAGGCTTGGGTCAAGTGCAAGGTCTCCAGTCTATAGATGAGTTTGCTTTGTATAATAACGGTGTGGTAAACACGGAGCCTCCATCCAATTGTGCAGTTTGCTGCTTTCCAAAAAGGTTTCCCTTATTACCTCAAGCGGACTGCATTACCTGGGGTATGTGCAATGGTGCCTTTACCCTTGACGAAGGCAGCACTTTTTGAGGGCGAGTGGCCTGCCAAGGACAAGGCTTCAAGCATGAGAGTATTTCAGCAGGGTTGCGGAGAGCAGAAGGTGTATCCAATCATGGGCAGCAACAGCAACAAAAACTTAAAAATTGTTGCAATTCCATCTCCCCACTGCTGTGAAGCTGACAATTCAAACAGGCTCTACCTCAGGAAATCAAGGCAGGCGTTGCAAACTTGACCCTCAAAGACAACCAAATGTCTTTGACGGATCCTTGCAAAGCATCCAAATTGAGAATACAATTTGGAAGCAGAAGTAGACTGGGAATCTCCCCGTACTTTCCTCCACCAAATTAACAGGAAACATCTTGAAGGAAAGTGCCGCGCGGCACTAATGGCCACCAAAGCTCTGGGTTCAAGCAAAATTGCATATGTACAGTACAGCCAAATTCGAAAGCAAAAGGAGCAAGTGATCAAGTTGGTCAGCATTTGGGTCCAAATGAGTTACACCATACGCAGTGTGCACTGATAGCATGCACAAGTCTGGCCATGTACCAACTTGCGCAACGCACACAAGACTCCTGACAGATTCTGAAAGTGAGGGCCTGGAAAGTCGTGCTTCCGCCGAAAAAATGATAGCAAAGTGAACAAAATTCCGCCAGCATAGACCCCAGGTAGCAAGAAAACTTTTGTGGGCAGCACACTGCAGCGCACTCTGCAGCGCGAAGCAGCAATCTCAGGCAGTACCCGTACCCTGCAGCAGCACCAGCACCCAAGCTCAAAAACGCACACGGCCACACATCTGGCAGCGGCTCCCTGCACCGGCACCAGAACCCAAGCTCCAGCGCACACAGCCACACAACTGGCAACAGAACCCTGCAGCGGCACCAGCACCCAAGCTCCAAAGCGCACACGCCCACACATCTGGCACGGCCACACACCTGGCAGTGGCAACCTGCACGGCACCAGCACCCAAGCTCCAAAGCGCACGCCGCCACACGTCTTGCAGCGGCACCCTGCAGCGGCAGCAGCACCCAAGCTCCAAAGCACACACGGCCACACATCTGGCGGTGGCACCTCCAGCGGCACCAGCACCCAAGCTGCAAAATACACATGGCCAAAAGTCTGGCAGCGGCACCCTGCATCGGCACCAGCACCCGAGCTCCAAAGCACCACACATCTGGCAGCGGCACCCTGCAGCGGCACCAACACCGAAGCTCCAAAGCACACATGGCACCACCAAGCGCACAGGCCACACATATGGCAGTGGCACCCTGCAGCGGCACCAGCACCCAAGCTGCAAAGTGCACACGGCCACACAACACCCAAGCTCCAAAGCACACACGGCCACACATCTGGCAGCGGCACCCTGCAGCAGCACCAGCACCCAAGCTCCAAAGCGCACACGCCCACACATCTGGCAGCGGCATGCTGCAGCGGCACCAGCACACAAGCTCCAAAGCGCACACAGGCGGCACCTCTTCCTATACTTGAAGACCCCCAATAGCTCTCGCTAACTGGGGAAAGAGCACTAAACCAGCAAATGGTTTGTCTGATCTACCTAACACTCCTCCACTATTGCCGCACACAGCAGGCCCTCTGCTTCGACGGCTCATCCTCACGGTCAACTTGGAAATCAATTCACAAATTGGATGCTTCTGCAATAGATGGCAATAAAGAATGGGTGGCTTGCTGGAGGTACCCCAATGCACTTCCAAACGGTCGCATCTCGCCGATATCGCATTGTAGTACGCCTCTCCTTCGACAGGCTTAGCGAGTCTGGGATGTAAGGCTCATCCTGATAAAACTTGCTTGTGTGCTGGCTGCTATTGGATGGAATCTGCGATCACCAAAACACTATTCCTCGCGCCGGCGTTGCTGGATCACCATCTCAGCCAGCTTAATGAAAGCCTAAAATTTGAAGAGAAGCTGATAATGAATGCCATCACAGACCAGCATGTATATACTTGTACTAAAAACTTGTAAGCTGAATGTCCGTCCACCAGCATAAAGTGCTTTTTTACACATGCTACCTGCTTTGGCACCATTGCGTTCCTTACACCTGAAGATGCCAAAAGATGCATCGCACGACCAGTAAATGTTAATCATACAAAGTCAAACGCTGCTGGCTGATCTAGGTGACGCGCGAAAAACTCCCCCTACGTTCCATTTCCATGCACCTCCCCTCCCCCCAGCACATGGTTACAGTTCTGGTCCATGCTCGGGCCAATGGGTATCATGCCCTTTGGTGCTGCGTTAATGGATTTCCATAAAGAGTTCTTGAAGTAGGCCCTAGATTAGCCTGGCCATGCGCCCAGGATAGGTGCTAGCCCCCTGTACGCCTAGCAGCCTAGTGCCAGCCCAAATGATCCCTCAGCGCATTCCATGTGTTTTATCTTCCTCATGGAGAGGGAGTTCTGTGCAATCCCGTCTACATATCCCTTCAAGGAACATGCACGCTTTCTTGGCAAGAGGCGCAAGTTGGCAAAATCTAATTGTTTCTCAACCTGAGCATATATATACTTCAATAAACTGTTGCTAGTGGGCTGCCAAAGCCTTTCACAAAAAAATGATATATTCTATCTTCTAGGCTGAATCTTTATATAGATTCTTTTCTATGGCTATGTAGCAACTCTGCATAGGTGTTTGTGCGCCCCACCTGAACTTGTGCTTGGTTTTATAAGTCCAAAAGTTCTTCCAGGAAAAAAAAATTGCCAGCCTGCAGACGTCCCTACATGCAGGAAACAATTAAAGAATTGCTCGATGTTAACATTGATAGAAATCAAACACCATATTTGCCACAAATTTCCATAACTGAGCAAAGCAATCAGAATGCTGATGCCTGATTGACGTTCTCTCCAAACCATGCGCTTGTCTCAAAGAAAGGTATGCCATACCTCGCACAAAATCTGAGTAAAGTGGCTCCATTGTGAGGCATCTGGGAAGCTGGCTTCTCTGCAAGTTCTTGACCCCTTCCAACTGCCACGGCGATGTCTTCCGCATCTGCCTTCTAACAAACCAAAAACAAGGCGCCTCATCATGTGTCGGGACCCTGCCTTGTTGCCAACAAGAACTCGTTGCACATCCTACCAGTGCTGAATGTTCAATGAAGCGTCCAACACCAACTGACCTGAAAATGGAGTTGCAAAGAATTATGCAGGTTTGCACAAAATCGATTATATATAAGTACATATATATATTGTTTATACATACAACAATATTGACCCACAACATGTACAGTAACCTTGTCCGCATGCTTGGAGATTTGCTCGTTCCAGCGAGAGATGTTCTGAAAGGATGCCTGGTAGCTGCGGTGGCAACAGGCTGCCGTTGACAAGAGTGTGAAACAATGTGAAAGACTCACTACACACACCAAGACATGGCCAAGCAAATCCCAAATCAGCAGTCAAGTTTGTAGTGCCCGTATGTTTTGCGCATTACATTACACGGATTCGTGTACACCTGCAAGCACCTGATATACTAATATACTCCAACATGTATATTTACTGCAGCCTTCACTGACAAAAGTGGACTGGCGAATGAACGGCGCAACATATGTATATATATATATAGAGGAACAGAAAGGAAAAGGGAGATGAGGGAAGGAAGAGAAGGAAACAGGAGGAAAGGAGTGTAAAAAATGGAACAGAAATATATCAAGTAAGCATAGATATATAGATGTGGAAAATAGAGGCACGTGAAGCACAAGCTAAAGCAAGATTTAAAGGAAGAGATGACATTGCCTTTTGAAAACACGATCCGAGCAAATGGTGCCCACTGCAACTGCTCAACAAGGGTTGTACAATGTCGGACAGTTAACCATGGATTTGTTGAGCGTTTTGAAGACAAATAGCCAAAGCACATGGAGGCAAGTTCTCCACCATCAAGGTGAACTTCACATATGCGAGCATTTCGAACCCTTTCGGGCGTAAGTTCGTGCCGGACTTGGTGCAAGCGTAAGGCATGAGTTCTATCTTGGACATAGTGACTAATGTGTGCTGGACTGACTGCAAGATTGCAGCCTGCTCCAGTGGGGTTTAATCCGGAAAGTGAACAAGCAAATTAAATGTTGACTCTTGGGGCTCGCGGGTTCCTCACAGCGTGGAGCAGTTGGAGAGGGTGTTCAAGACTGAGGACTTGCGTCCTGAAATCCTGGGCCTCACGGCCTCAAGTAAGTGTAGTCTGCATATGTGGAATCTTGGCCAGTTCGTGCTTGCCTTATCAATCGCGGCTCGCGCTGCGTCTTTGGTGGCCTGAGAAAGAGCTTCTTGGTGGAAACACGTTCTGAGTGGGTGAACGCGGTTGAAGGTGGTTGAAGGTGGAGCGTCTTGAACTTGGCTAGGTCATTTTGCTTCAAGTGTCAAGTGAGTGAGTCTACATTCGCTAAAACGCAGCGCAAATTCACAAATCGCGTGACCGTTGGCCTCACAGCAGAGAATTGAAAACCCTGGTTGATCGAACTGAAGGTCTTTGAAGATCCTCCGGAAGCCACCCCACTGCCTTGAGGTCTGCGGAGCACCAAGGTTTTGTTTCGTAACGGAGTTCCTTTGCTTGAGCCGTGGGCAGAGGCACAGGAATCATTTGTGGGCAACTGTTTTTGTGGTGATGTGTGCTGTGGTAAAGTACAATGTTGTCATGTGATGCATGCAATTTGCTTACGTGGTGTTAGTGATGTTGTCTGAAAAGTTGGTGTGCAACCAAAATATCAGTGGTCTGTAAGCCACACTCATTGCTTAGGAGAGGAAGGAGGCAGCAGGGTGCTCAGCCCCAGAACATTTAGACAAACAACATTTCCCAAAGCCAGGGAATCGATGAGAACAGTCGTAAACGTTCTGCCGCGAACCACCGTGAAGTAAAGGGAGGGAAGGAAAATTGTGGGGTGGAGCATCTTGGCGTTGTGCTTCAGAACAAGTAGGCAGCCCAAAGATGCCAAAGGTCGCACCAAAGTCCATTAGGATGCCAGAGCCACTCCAAAACCCGCGATGCTTGTGCCAAGCCGTAACGTAACTACCAGGCAACAGCCAACTCACAAAAACATCTCAACTTCTTGAAAATGTCACATATGCAAGTCCCACATTCTCGGCAAAGAGACTGCAGAATCAAAAGCCGATAATCTGTTCGTCGGTACTGTATGTATGTATGTATGTATGTATGTATTTTTTCCTAGAGGGTTCTTTTCCTGCGAGTCGGTGGCTCATTGGCCGTTCTCTCTGCCGGCCGCGGCTGCTGGTAGTCCGCCATGGGCTCCTTGTCAGAAGTAGTCCACTTGCATTAGCGCTGCCTCATCCGTTTCCTCGATCAGGCAGTCTGTTTCTGGACTTTCCTCCTCTCAACCTTCTTGTGAGAGTGGCCCCACTGATGGGCTGTGGCTGGGTTTCATGGCCGGTGCAGTGGTTGCCTGCAAACCTGAGGTCTGAAAGGGAGTACGGCGGTGGAGTCCGGCCGAGACTGGTGTGGTGCTTGCCGCCTTGCGTTCATCTGCATGTGGTTCCTCTGCAGAGGATTGAACTTGAGCTTCTTGGGAGCCGGCGGTGAGAGGCTGGCAGCAGCGGTGGACTGCCCAGGAGGTGTCTCCGGCGCAGGCTGGGTGTCATGGCCAACTGGAGACTGTTTGCTTTTGGCTTGGGCGCCGAAGAGTTGATCCAGCGTGGGTGAAGACTGGCTCATTCCTCTGCATTCCTTTTTGAGCCCCTTCGTGAGGATCAGCCTCTCCTCATCATCCAAATGGCTTCGCAGCCCGCAGCCTTTGCACTTGATTTTTTTGCCTCGCTGCCACAGTGTGTGGGTGTGGTGACCCTGATGCTGGTGGCGGTAGGCGGCATCAATGCAGGGCCCTTCAACAAAGCTGCGAAAGGTGTCTTCGTTGGCTCGTTTGCGCACGGCCAGGTTGCACTTGCTGCATTTGAGATACCCTTTGCTCTCCTGGAAAGCATGTTCATCCGGTGTGACTGAATGTTGTTGCTGAACTTGGAGGAGGCCAGCAATGACGCTGGTGCGGGTTGGTTTCTTACCAACTGGCTTCTCAGGTAAGATGTCAGGTTCTGGAGTCTGGTCTCGAAGGTCTCCACAGTGAGACCTTGGTGGACCCTGGTTTGGCAGGTGTGGGGAGCCGCTTCTTGTATGGTCGTGTGGCCAGCATTGCGGCTTGGTTGTCGTGGAGGTAGTGCTGTGGATCTTTAAAGATCTTCTCAAGGCGGGCTGCTGCATGAGTGTAGACCTCCATGTTGTCTTGGTCCAAGGTACGCTGCCACGCTTCTGCACGCTGGTCATAGATGGTGTTGGCCCTCTCCCATGCTGCCAGCGCAGCGTCCCTTTGTCTTTGCCTTAGGTGTGGCTCGTTTGCTGGTGCGTCTGGTGTGCTCTGGTTTCTTGCTGATGTAGAGTGGTGTGATTCTCTTATGTCTCCTCCGGTTGCGCTTAAACAAGGTCATGGAACCCCTTGCGTTTTTTGGGGTTGGTCCAGGCTTCCCAGACGGAGCCTAATTGCACAATGACCGTGACTGGTGTTTGGACAAACTGCGCTCCTGGAAAAGTGCCCTCGTGATGGCGCCTTTCCGTTGAAGGGCGCCAAGTGAGTAGCTGTGGACGCAGAGGGCGCAAATCCAGGCTTGAGCTCTCTTGTCCGCGGACGTTGGCGTGGCATCAACCGTGACGGACAGTCCTTGCCAGGGTTGTAGTGGTAGTGGTTCGAGGCTTTGCCAACATCCATGTCCTCAAAGGTGTGCTCCAAATTGTCTTACGGCTCCTTGCGAGTCCAGCCATGAGCCCAAAGGGGCTCTTCCAAAATCTTGTAGCCTTTCAGTCCATGGGATGGGGACGCTGGCCTTGGCGCCATTTGCATAGCCACAGGATGTGCTTTGGCGTTGCCGGGACATTGCACAAGGGGCATGGTCGTGTTTTGTCCCCGTGCTTATAGTGCTTGGTTCCAGGATCGGATGTTGCTTTGCTGAGCTTCTTCATGGCCTTGTGTGCCACTGTCCAATCGGTCCCGCTGACCAAGCGCTGGCAATTCTTTTTGTTGGCAAAGCGGTGTCGTCGTCGTTGCGCTTCTTTCAAGACAACCTCTTCAACAACCCACCACTCCGCTCTCATGTCGATGTGTGCCTCAGTCATATAGGCTGTTTCATGGCGGGTCCATGAGTAGAGACTGCCTGTGGTCCATCCCCATTCACGCAAGTAGGCAAGCGTTGCCGCCATTGGACCCTTCACGTCGTACCAAAGGTAGGTTTGCTTCCGGAGCTGATTGCGGAGCCCCAGCCACGCTTGCTCGATGTGTGGCAAGGTGATCTGGACGCCAGTGCACCTAGGGCATGGATGCGCTGTAGTACCACTTGGTCACCTGGATCCATGTATTTGTGGCTGTGTTGGTCGTAGACCACATCGGTTTGGCCTCCACTGTGGAGTCCAAGGTGGCTGGCCAATGCATGTGGCGGGTCATCTGACATCTGGGCGTAGAAGCTTGGAGAGGGCTTTGTGCGTGATCTTGTCCGTCACGATGAAAGCCGTTTTTTGGTTGTTCACCTTCAGCCCCACCTCTTGTACTGGGGTCTTTCCATGCGCTGGTGACTCTGTGGGCAAGGGCTTGGGCATCAGTGTGACTGCCATCATCAATCCAGCCATTCAAATGGAGACCCTGGTATTTGGCCTGGAATGGTCCAAGGATGGGCTGCAGGAAGGTCTTGGCAAGCAAAGGGGCTTGCGGGCAGCCCGCTGCCATGCCCTTGGTGACATGGAACCAGTAGCTGAGTTCGGCATCAGCCAGCACTGCTTTTGGTCCTGCGTAGACCTGCATGGCCATGCTTGGAGAGTGTCTTGTTGCTCTCCTGGCGCAGGAGTCGCTCCAAAGCGACATGTAGGGCTGTAGCTCCTGGGCGGGCACGGTCGTAGTCTATGTGTCTGGGCAGCTGGAGCTGCCATTGGTCCAGGATGTTCTTCCTCAGGCGGCACCAAGTGCGGTAGAGGACACTGGTGAGCGCGATTGGTCTTTCGACCTTTTTGTTCTTGGCCAACATGCCACCAAACTCATTTGGAGTTGTGTTGGGAGTGTTGCCGTGGCTTCCATGTCCCGTAGGATCTTCAGGAGGACTGGCAGTGCCTGGGGTGGAGCTGTGCAGAGCAGCTGGTGGACATGGCATCCGGCCCAATTGGCGGAAGGCCAGAAGGCTCATGTTGCGCTACAGCCGCTACAATATATTTCTGGAGGCCCTGAGGATTGGGAGTTGGGCAGCCTCTTGTTGTAGAGTCTGCCTGGGCATGGTCTGGTTGTCCTCAGTGGGTTGCCAATGCGCATGCCAGTCTTTG